TCGCCTACGGCCAAGCGATGTACGATCGAGCCTCTAGCCTCGGTTTTAAAAGAAGGTTTTAGAAAACGAGTAGAGAGAGATTTTAGAGAGAGATTTTAGAGAGAGAGATTTATGAGAGAGAGATTTTGATGAGAGAGATTTTGGTGAGAGAGATTTTGGAAAGAGACAGCAAGCAAGATAAAGATAACAACTGCTTAGCATATATAACCTTCGTTAGGGAGAAGTTGACAACTAGTCATATCCCCTATAGTACATTCTGAGCCATTTTATGTCTGGCAGGCCTAGACATGATATTTTTGAGACGTCATGACAAGGGTTTGACTTGTCATGAGCATGCAGCCATGGGCAACACGCCCTGGACGAGCATGACCATGACAAGTAGTACCACACAAAAGAGTAGCATTCCTAAGCATGGAGGTTTCTTTGGCTATTAACCAACAAAAACCTAAGCCAAATAAAATGACTATTTTAAGGCAAATTTATCATTTCTATATTTTTTTTCCTTAAATGGAATGATTTTCCTACCTTTTTCACATATTTAATTTTCTATTTTAAAATTTAATAACACATTTTAATATGGTACGGTTCCACACTCTACACTCTATTATGTGAGACCATACCCAATGAATTTATCATGCATTAATATAAAATGTCTCCAATACCTAATTAAATTTGTTTGCAAAATTGCTTAAAATCAAACTATTCTTAAAATAATAAAATTTATTCTAATTCTATTTTTTCAATTTGGACGAGTGAATAATAATATGTTATTATGATTTCGAAAAAGCACTATGATAAAATTCGTAGACACTACTATTTATTTAAAAGTCAATGGTGTGACTGTAATTTAATTTTAAAGTCATTAATCTATTAAATGTATAGCAATTGGAAGAGAGGATTTCATATTCTACCCTTCTTTTTCTATTTAATTTCAAATTTTTGTTCTCTAGAGTCCACAGTCGTTGACCTAGTTTATTCTCCATTATAGCAACTACAACTGATACATTTATAACTGCTTTAAGTTGAAGTGTTCCTTTGTCGCTACTGAACCATAGTGGCAGTGGTCAAACAAACTAAGCACCGAGCCATGGCAGTAGTGGTCAAACAAACTAAGCGTTCTATTTTAGACATCCAATAGGGTTGAATTGAAAGATATTCTCTAAGATGATGGAATGACTCTTAATTTGAGACTCAAAGTTGAATTGTCAATCAAGAGATGTATCAATTCAAAACTAATACATCAATTCATCTCTTCTTTTCAGGGGAAGAGAGAACAAATAAGGTGAAAGAGTGAACAAAAAATGTAACTTAATCTTATTCTAAACGGGATCTCTCTTATTTTCAACATTTTTCATCAATGAGTACTGATTCGAGATTTGAAAGAATACCGTACTGGGTATAGATGATTACGATTTTTATGATTTTTATAATGGAATAGAGTACTATACATTTTCGAAAACACGTAAACATTGGTCAAACATTGGTCAAATGAAATTTGGAGTCACATATATAATGATTCAAAACAAGCATTGGTCAAACATGCATTAAAGGAGAAACTAAGCATTGGTCAAATCTAGGATTTTGTGTCGAATTCAACTAACAGCCAAATAATTTATTTAAAAATTAAAAGGGTATGACTGTAATTTCATCAAAAAAAAAAAATCATTCCTCTCTCTTTTATATATAATATATATAGCCGTAGGAAGAGTAGATTCCATATTCTAAAATTCTTTTGGAAATTTTACTATATTTCTTTTTTGTAAGGTTTCAATTTTGATCTATAACAATTTTGTAAGCTCTACCAGTTCCCTCTTTCTTTTCTACTACTGACAATTGATACATTTGTAACTTCTTTAAGTCGTAGTGTTCCTGTGCCGCCATTGAGTCATGACAACAGTGGTCAAACAAACTATATCAAGTCATGACAAAGTGGTCAAACAAACTAAAATTTATTTCCAACCGTATTTAAGAATTTAAAGATAATACATGAATTTATGTATAAGAGAAATGTCAAATTCTTTTAGTTTAACAATATGGCAATGGATTAGCAGACAATACATAAGGAGCCATCTTGATTTCAATGTTTTCTATTCCTTTCTTATTTTTTATTGTCATTATCATAAATCAAAATAATATTGATAATGAATATTCTCGATTAGTTATATGGTATATATGAAAACTTGTTAAATATTTGTAATAAACTCCGAACCAAAAAAAATATCACATCTAATAATCTTATATCTAACTGTTTTTTTTTTTTTTTTTGAATAGAGTCATAATGGTGTATTTAGAATAAGAAATTAATTATTAATTATTTTAACATTTAAAAGTATTCAATTAAAAAGTAATTTATATTTTAGATGGATAGAAGTTGGAGGTTCGGAGGGAGATGTCATAGAATGTTTGTTATTACTGTAAGTTATATCTTACGTCTCCTTTTTCTTTTATCTTGATTTTGTTGTAATTATTTAGATTTTTGTTAGAAATTAAATACTAAAAATATTTTACTTATTATAGAATCACATCTGTGTAACGACCCTAAATTCAACATATTCAGAACCGCTACATGCTCATCTAATGTGCGAATATAACTCTTAAAATCGAACATCATTTAAACATGTGGGCTCAAGCTTGGACTTTAAGAGTTCTCCTTAGGAATCGCCCAATGTGATCTTGTGCACGTAGAATCTTGTCAGCGACCAAGGGTACATGTGGGGAATCCCTTATTTCATGGATACCTCGTTAGTCATCCTAGGAGGTAAAGCCGTATGTATCGTGATGAATGTTTTTCCCCATATCTTGGTTTCACAGCCTAATGTTTTCCAATGGCCCCCAAACTTTACAACCTTATACAACTCATGAGATAAGGATTCATGCAACATCTCATATTATTTGGAGGTCATTTAGGGATTGAACCGTAGGTAGTTTTCCTTAGGGGCACTATGGTCATTTTTCACTGTTACTTTGTTTTCCTACTTAACCTTATCTCATGGCCACCAAATTTCATAATTAATCTCAACATGTTATAATATGCAGAGTATTAAAATTTCATAAGCAGCAGAGTTCATTTAGCGCGTTATTTTAACCATCTCCAGCAATTTGATTATTCCGAAGTCTTAACTAACGGTTCTTTAGATTTTTCCTACATGTAACGTTAAAGACATTAAAGAAACACCACAAGTCTAAATTATCATCCACCCAAATTTTATAACTACCTAAGAATAAATGAAGTATTATTTTTGTTTAAGGTGACATGAATTGCAACATTTTGTTATAATTTAAGCATTATTTTCTTCCCATTTTCCTTGCCGTTTATATTGGATGATTGTGATTATTAACCCTTTTTCTATATACATTCAAGCGATGAGCAGTAGAATGTTAAGTGCCTAAACAAATTAGAAAGGACAAAATTACAATAATGTCCCTACTAAGTATATAAGTTAAATTACTTAAAAGATCTTATATGAAACCTATTTTTATAGTTAAGAATTATTGTAAAATATCTTAAACTAATAAAAGAAGTATTTTTATGCCTAAAATAGACTTCAAATGACTTAAGAATCTAAATTATGGATAATTATAACAATATCAAAAACTATGTAAGATTTCATCGTAACTAGATCAAGTTTAATCACGATTGGAGTGGAAAGAGACAAAAACACACGTAGGACCTCGTGATGTTTCTAAGTATTTAACGAACTTGAAATGATATGAAATTTTATATAAGACTCATTTATAAAATTGTAGACGATTATATATGACTTCAAATTTATTAAAACATGTTTGGATATAAGAAAATACTATGATAGAAAATTATGAAAATAACCCTAATGAATCTTTTATAAAGATTGATGATAGTACGAGAAAATACTATGATAGAAAATTATAAAAATAACCCTAATGAATCTTTTATAAAAATTGATGATAGTATAAGAAAATACTATGATAGAAAATTATGAAAATACTAGGAAAGAATAGGGTGATTTATGAAAATCACCCTATTCTTTCCACCATGATTTGCATTATGATCACATGTTTTCCTCGCCTAGATCAGATGCCCTACAAATGTTTCTTGTAGGACATCGTGTCCATGTTTCTTGCAAGTTTACCCAACCTATGTTTCTTGTTTCTTGCTAAGACATTCTAACCATGTTTTATTTGGAGCATGTCCTCATTCTCTCTCTAACAAGTTTAGGTTCTCTCTGGATTGAAAGTTTAGGTTCATTATATTCTCCAACCATTTGACCTTTTTAGGTCTTCTATGGGGAGTAGTTTTTTGACCGATAGGGTTAGGTAGAAGGATTGACCAAGTATCATGACTCATGACCCATGATTTAGGACAAAGATCATCATGAGAAGAAACTATGATAAGCTCTTGGTCAAATCATAGAGATACTACCTTAGCACCCACCATGGACACGATTAAGAACCGATAAGTAGGCTACAAAGAGCAGCGACAACCTTGCTTTCATAATCAAGAAATTACAATAACCTTACTATTTATAATGATAACAAATGTGGTTTCAAAACTAGAAATACTCTCACATCCTTATTCCTCATGCTATAAATGGGTTGTATGAATGAGACAAGTAATCTAATCAAGTACAATTTAGGGAGAAGAAAATATCTACCGTTTTATAAAATAATAATATTGAGTTCATGAAATAACATAAAATATCAACTTATTTCACATCAAAAGTACAAGCTAGCAATGGTATGTTTTTATTTAAAAATATAATTATTCTTAATGATCCTCAAATGAAGGGAGGGAGAAATTAGAAATTGAATAGTGAAACATTCTATATTTGGAATACTCCCAAACTCACCAAATTTAACACCCTTTCTAAATTTGGTGGTCTGTTCTAGATATAGTTTTCCCATCAAACTATATATAGGGCTTTACATTGTAAGAAAAATCCAAGCACCAACATCTTAGCAATTGCTACTCTTTATCATTTGTGAAACGAGCTTGTAACCTTACAATTTTAAGACACTCCACAATGGCCATCGGCAAAGGTTTCAAGCTCTTTCATACCCTTTTCCTAGTGATTTCTTGGCAGTATTGTGCAAAAGTGGGTGCCACTTTTAGTGATGTCACCGGTGTCGTAAATCTCGATCATCAATTTTCATTTCGTGCCTTTGCATCACATGACACACAAACAAAAGATGGAAGCATAGCTCTAACCCCGGAGGCTGCATTCGATGGAAGCATTGCTCTAACCCCGGAGGCTGCATTCGATGGAAGCATTGCTCTAACCCCGGAGGCTGCATTCGATGGAAGCATTGCTCTAACCCCAGAGGCTGCATCGGTTGGAAGCATTGCTCTAACCCCGGAGGCTGCATCGGATGAAAGCATTGCTCTAACCCCGGAGGCTGCATCGGATGAAAGCATTGCTCTAACCCCGGAGGCTGCATCGGATGGAAGCATTGCTCTCATCCCGCCGGAGGCTGCATCGGATGGAAGCATTGCTCTCATCCCGCCGGAGGCTGCATCGGATGGAAGCATTGCTCAAACCCCGCCGGAGGCTGCATCGGAAGGAAGCAGCATTGCTCAAACCCCGCCGGAGGCTGCATCGGATGGAAGCAGCATTGCTCAAACCCCGCCGGAGGCTGCATCGGATGGAAGCAGCATTGCTCAAACCCCGCCGGAGGCTGCATCGGATGGAAGCAGCATTGCTCAAACCCCGCCGGAGGCTGCATCGGATGGAAGCAGCATTGCTCAAACCCCGCCGGAGGCTGCATCGGATGGAAGCAGCATTGCTCAAACCCCGCCGGAGGCTGCATCGGATGGAAGCAGCATTGCTCAAACCCCGCCGGAGGCTGCATCGGATGGAAGCAGCATTGCTCAAACCCCGCCGGAGGCTGCATCGGATGGAAGCAGCATTGCTCAAACCCCGCCGGAGGCTGCATCGGATGGAAGCAGCATTGCTCAAACCCCGCCGGAGGCTGCATCGGATGGAAGCAGCATTGATCAAACCCCGCCGGAGGCTGCATCGAATGGCGGCGGCATTGCCCTAACCCCGGAGGCTGCATCGACCCCGGAGGCTGCACCGAATGGCGGCGGCATTGCCCTAACCCCAGAGGCTGCACCGAATGGCGGCGGCATTGCCCTAACCCCGGAGGCTGCACCGAATGGCGGCGGCATTGCCCTAACCCCGGAGGCTGCACCGAATGGCGGCGGCATTGCCCTAACCCCGGAGGCTGCACCGAATGGCGGCAGCATTGCCCTAACCCCGGAGGCTGCACCGAATGGCGGCAGCATTGCCCTAACCCCGGAGGCTGCACCAGAGGCTGCACCGCTTGGCGGCAGCATTGCCCTAACCCCGGAGGCTGCACCAGAGGCTGCACCGCTTGGCGGCAGCATTGCCCTAACCCCGGAGGCTGCACCAGAGGCTGCTGCACCGCTTGGCGGCAGCATTGCCCTAACCCCGGAGGCTGCACCAGAGGCTGCTGCACCGCTTGGCGGCAGCATTGCCCTAACCCCGGAGGCTGCACCAGAGGCTGCTGCACCGCTTGGCGGCAGCATTGCCCTAACCCCGGAGGCTGCACCAGAGGCTGCTGCACCGCTTGGCGGCAGCATTGCCCTAACCCCGGAGGCTGCACCAGAGGCTGCACCGCTTGGCGGCAGCATTGCCTTAACCCCGACCATTACACCAATTGGAAGTAGCGTTACTCAAATCCCGACCATTGCACCAACTAGCACACAAACTTGAGAGTAATTGTTAAGCATGGATGTTTCTTTGGCTATTAACAAAGAAAAACCTAAGCCAAACAACCAAACAACTATTTTGTAGGCAAATTCATTATTTCTATATTGTTTTTTTAAATGGAATGATTTTCCTACATTTTTTTTTCGCTAAAAATTTAATGAAACACGTTTTTAATATGGTACAATTTCACAATCTACTTAACTGATACCATAACTAATGAATTTATCAATAAATTAATATAAAATATGGTACAATTTCACAATCTACTTAACTGATACCATAACTAATGAATTTATCAATAAATTAATATAAAATGTCTCGAATACATAACTAAATTTGTTTGCCAGACTTAAAATCAAACTATTTTTATATTAATAAAATCAATTCTGATTCTATTTTTTCAATCTCGAATAGTAAATAATAATAGGTTATTATGATTTGGAAGGTCGCTATAGTGAAATCGGTAGACACGCTCCTCTTAGGAAGCTGTACTAGAGCATTTCCGTAATATTCTAATGAAAATGATTATCAATATGATGAATTAAATTATTATAATCTTATAATAATAGAATTTTGTGATTCAAAGTTGAATCAAGGTAAAGAATCAAATACAAGACATCAGTCAAGCAAGATTTTGGTTCGAATTGAGAACAACTTTTGTCAAACACAGAATCTTACGAAAAGTTAAAGGGTAAGACTGTAATTTAATTTTGTGTCGAATTGAAAAGTCATTCCTCTCTCTTTTATACATATAGCGAGAGTGGATTCCATAGTGTAAAATCTTTTTTTTCAAAACAGAAAAATAGAAATTTCAACTCCACAAAAATAAGGTAGGGTTATAACTTTGTAAGATTTCAAGTTTTTTCTTCGACAATTTTATACGTCTGCGACTTTGCTCTGCGATCCACAACGGTCGACCTAGTTCATACTCCTTTATAGCCACCGACAATTGATACATTTATAACCGCTTTAAGTTGAAGTGTTCCTCTGCCACCAAGCCATGGCGGTGATGGTCAAACAAACTAAGATTTCAGCCGTATTTAAGACATCTAATAGGGTTGAACATAAAGACGTCCTCTAAGATATTGGAATGACTCTTAATTTGTGATTCAAAGTTGAATGGTTTCTCGAGAGATATAATAATTCAAAACTAAGCATAGTTCAAACACATGAATTCAAAACTAAGCATAGTTCAAACGCAGGATTTTGTATTGAAATATGGAATGGTGGTAATTTCGTAAGGTTTCAATTTTGTTCTCCGACAATTTTTTACAACTGTGATTAAACTTTGCCGTCTACCGCCCGACCCAATTTGCTCCTTATTTACCGCCACCGACAATTGATACATTTGTAACTTCTTTAAGCCGTAGTGTTCCTCGCCATTAAGTCATAGCAATAGTGGTCAAACAAACTAAAATTTAAGTAGGCGTATTTAAGAATTTAAAGATAATACATGAATTTATGTATAAGAGAGATGTCGAATTCTTTTAGTTTAACAATATGTTTGGCGATGGATTAAAACAACATTTTAATCGATTTTTAACAGACAATACATGCTTTATACTCTGATGAGCCATGTTGATTTCAATATTTTCTATTTACTTCTTATTTTTTAATTGTCATTATCATAAATCAACATAATATTGATAATGAATATTCTCAATTAGCTAGGGGTATATATACTGAAACTTGTAAAATATTTGTAATAAACTTTAACCGGAAAAAAATATCACATCTAATAATTTTACATCGAACGTTTTTTTTTTTTTTGGACTAGAGTCATAATGATCTAATCACAATAATAAATTAATTATTTTTACATCTAAAAGTATTCAATTAAAAAATAATTTATATTGCAGATTTAACAAGAAAGATGTATCTTGATAATTTGCCAGTACGGTAATTATATTTTACATCTTCCTTCTCTTATCTTTATTTTGTTGTAATTATTTAGATTTTTTTATATTCTTTTATATTTGTTAGAATTTAAATACCAAAAACATTTGGTCAAAATCTAGAATTTTTTAAAAGAAAAAAAGGAAACAAATAGAGAGAAAGAGGGATGATTGTCTACAAAATTAAAAGAAGAATGAGAGAGAAAGATCGGTGAAGTGTTACCCTTTTAAATGGGTTGTATAAAAATAATATTATAACAAACGTATATAAATATTTGTATGAAAAATATATTATAAAAAATATATATAAACATTCCAAAACTTTACTATGGCAAAGACGCATTAATTGGCATATTGCAAAGACGCATTAATTGACATAAAATCTAACACATAGATCATTGTAAATTAGATAAATAATTCTTCAGAAGTTCAAACATGAATATTGCTTTAAAGAATTAGGTAAGTAAGTTAGTGACAAGAGCTTAACGTGATTAGGTAAGTAACCTTGTGGCCCCAACATGCACCATAATATTTTTTATGTAATGGTTGTGTGCTTTATGCATTGAAATATGACGTTTTATTATGTATACAATGTCATGTCAATTACATCAGGTTATGAATAAAATGAAATGCTATGAAAGAATAGAATTGAAAAATGATGTAATAGACTATGTGATGTTTACTAGGTATACACAGTGCATGTATGGAATATGTCATGGATGAAATGAGAAAAGGAATAACGTTAATACTATGTTTTAAATGTAAATTATGGGCATCTCATACATGTATGTGTGTCATGTGCATCAGGATACTTCCCCGTTATGTTATGTTAATCCGGGTGTGTGTCTTCCATATACATGTTTCGCATGATATCATGAGGGTCTTTCCTTTTCTATGGCATTTGGTGACGTGTAACACATTAAGCCTGAACATGTTAGGCCCAGGGGTACGTATATGAGCCCACCTTGCCCGAAACTGAAAATAGTCCAAGCACATGTGACGGTTTAAAGATAGGTCTCAATCATGTTATGTGTGTGATTGCATTGCTAAATCCAACAGTCGGATGATTTACTGAGTATTTCGTAAAACACTCAAGTCACGTGTCACCCTTATACTTTCTACGTGAAGGTAAAGCTCCACGCTCAGATGACGGTGAATGCTAGAAATATCATGGTAGTCAGAATAGGGCATGATAGAGCAATAGAACTCGTTGAATTTTATTTAGTAGTTGGTAAAGGTTTTAAATGCAATTTTTTTTTTATATTAAAAAATATGTTAGGTTTAATTTATTGTTTTAAATTAAATATATAAGTCAACGAATTTATTTTTAAATTATTTATTATGAACTTTAGCCTATGAGATTAAAGCATGTTTGTGTAACGCCACTAATTTTGGCTAAGAAAATAGGGCGTTTCATATACTATTCTTCAAACAACATCTTCAATGTAAGTCACACGAGGCACACGTTTAGCAACGTTCACCTTCATTGTGACACATGTATTTGTCGCAGGTTAGCTCAGTTACGCAATAGCGCTCAGGGTGGTGGAGAGGTTACACCATTCCTTCCTCTAAGTACATTTTGAACCATTTCAAATCTGGCAAGTGTGAACATGTTTTAGGCAAACAATCATACGCTGTCATAAAGCATCCTATAGTCTTCCATTGACACAAAATTTTGTGAGCTTTCATATTTCATATAGATGGACTTAATTCCAAAACTACATACCCAAATTCTCTCTACCTCAAGCTTTAGAGGTTAATGCTGAAGGCCCTGCCTTAACCTTGAAAAAGCCTATTTTTTATAATTATGTCAAAATCATTGCATTTGTCTTGCCTATTCTTTAGCTTGGCTTTCTTTGGTGCATTGGATGATGCAACGTCCTCCTCGATCACTTCATGGATTATCTATTCTGGTTGTTGCATGGCCGGATTGGTAACACTCGAGGATTTGCCACTTTGCTTGTTGTTACGTAAGGGTCACACTGTTTGAAACCTTACCTCTCCAGCTCCGTTCAATACACTTCTCCCCCTCGATTTCTTCAAGAAACTTAAAAAACTGAGTCAAAAGGAAGAGTTAGGGATTGATTTCTTACCTTCTTGTGGATTGTACGATAAGTTATTCTCCTCTAAAGTTCATCAAGAATTTTTTTCCTCACCGGAGCTCAACCTTGAAAAAGCTTATTGGCTAGCCATTTCTAAGGGTTTTTTGGGAATCGCTTCTTTATTATTCCCTCTGGCTAATTCAATTGGTTTGGGGAAAGTCTTCAAGTGTTTGACCTTAATTTAGAGATTTTCTTTAGTCAGCAAATCACCATAAAACACCAAATTAAACTTTCTTTGGCAACTTGACCTACAACGTTTTCGATTTCTTATCAAAATTACTGATCTCAATCCTCGTAAACAAATGGAATGCTCAATTTGAAGAAAAATAGACCGTAGATAGGAATTCGATACTTGCCCCCATTTTGAACCGAAAATTGACTTTCTTCGATTACACACGTTCTTGAGGTTAATTCTTTTCGTGGTATGCAACAAGAATGTTTCTTGAAGGTGAAAAAATCGAATGGGATTGGTCGTGCTCGATGAATTTGTGTGTATGGTCGGATTAGATTTTCAATCTTTCTTTGAACTTCTTCAATGGTCATTCGTACTAGGGAATGGGTTCTAGGCTCATTTAGCGCTTGGTTCCTTTGTAGAACTTGTGGGTAGTCTTGTTTAGATGGCTTAGGAACAAGTTTGAAGGGAAATGCTGGAGAATTTCTCTCAAATTTGGATGAAAATCGAGAGTAGGAAACCAAAAAACTAAACGACTATAACTCACGATTCCAATGATGCCAAAATACACCATCTTTTGGCTTCTGTCATCAAGCATTTTGATATAGGGGTTTACGGTCTTCATATGTGCTGCACAACCAAAGATTTTTAGATTCTTGAAGTGAGGTGTCTTACCGATCCATGTTTTGTATTGGGTGTGAGTGTCCAACGCCTTCGTTGGTAGACAATTTAGAAGATAAATTGCATGTCCTATTACCTCACCCAGAAAATTATCGAGACTTGCATGCTCTCGAGTAAGCTTCTTGTATTGTGGATTGTATAGTAAAGTGAGTT